TCTCAAGTGAACAACCCTCTCAAACTCTCAAGTGAACACTTGAACAGGAAATCTCAAGTGAAAACTTGAACCGACCTCTCAAACTCAGAAGTGAAGAACTCTCAAAGGAACAGCTCTCAAGTGAAAGGCCTCTCAAATGAAGAAACCTCAAAAGTCATTAAGGGACAGTTCACTGAGGGACAGATCACTGTGAGGGTTTCACTTGAGTGTCAGTGAGGGACAGTTCACTGAGGGACAGTTCACTGAGGGTTTCATTTGAGTGTCAAGGAGGGACTGAAGGACAGATCACTGTGAGGGTTTCACTTGAGTGTCAGTGAGGGACAGTTCACTGAGGGTTTCATTTGAGTGTGAAGGAGGGACAGTTGACTGAGGGACAGGGTTTCGTTTGAGTGTCAAGGAGGGACAGTTGCCTGAGGGACAGTTCACTGAGGGTTTCACTTGAGTGTGAATGAGGGACAGTTGACTGAGGGACAGTTCACTGAGGGTTTCACTTGAGTGTCAGTGAGGGACACTTCACTGAGGGACAGTTCACTGAGGGACATTTTCCACATAGATTTCATTGCAAATTCATTGCAAATATTGAAATGTTTGCTTTATTTTCTGAAGATTTATTGAAAATTTTGTATTATTTTGTTAAGTTTTTTGGATTTTGGAAGTATAGGGGTGAAAGTTTGGTGAAAGTTTGCATGAAACTTTCATGAAACTTTCATGAAAGTTTCACAGTGATATGAAAGTTTCATGAAACTTTCATGAAAGTTTCATAGTACCTTGAAAGTTTCATGAAAGTTTCATGGTACTATGAAACTTTCATGAAACTTTCATGAAACTTTCATCTTGCTATGAAAGTTTCATGAAACTTTCGTGAAACTTTCACGCAAACTTTCATCAAACTTTCATACCACAGTGAAACTTTAATGAAAGTTTCATGAAAGTTTCACATGTTCATTTCAAAAACCAATCTGAAACTATCAACTTTCTATTCAAAACATATAGATTTTGAACAGTGATCATCAATTTGCAAAAAGCACAGCCTGGTTTATTCAATTTTGTTTGATCGCATATGAATAAAGGTGCTCAAGTGAAGTCTCTCAGGTGAATCTCTAAACGGTTTGCTTTAACAAAGTAAAGTCTCCAATAAAACCTTTGAACTGTGAATCTACCAGTCCCAGGTGAAGTCCCAAGTGAAGTTGGTGACAAACAGCACTCAAAGAAAATATCTTTCAAATGATCGCTTTAGATTGGTCAACTCTCAGGTGAACAGTCATATACAAAAAGCATAAAAATCAAAAACCACAAAATATATGAACATATACATTTTTATATTTTTACTCTCAAAAAATATCATTATTTAGTAATAATTAACGATATTTCTACAAATGCACTATTGTATATTCAATTCTATTTGATCGCATTCCAAAAACATGCACTCGAGTGAAGTCTACCTCTCTAGTGAACCTACCAGTCCCAAGTAGAGTTGACTAGAAACTGCACTCAAGTAAAAAGGATCGCTTTAGAAAAGCTAACTCTCAAGTGAACTCTCTCTATCACTCAAGTGAAATATATCTCACAGGATAGCTTTAGAATAGTCCTCCCTCAAGTGAACTCTCTCTACCACTTCAGTGAAGTATATCTCAAAGGATTGCTTTAGAATAGTCAACTCTCAAGTGAATTCTCTCTACCATTCCTCAAAAAATATATTTAAATATAATATTTTCTGCAAGTTCTGTTATAGTTATTCCAGTTCGATGTTCTGCCGCCCCTCACTCCATGGAAGCACAGTCGTCCAGCCCAGCCCCCATGGATCATAGTCCCCATGGCCCCCATGGGATCATAGTTGTAGAGCTCCTCATAGATCCTTGAAGGGCTTGCCCTTCCAGATGCCCTTCCCTTTGCCCTTCCCTTTGGCCTTGCTCTTGCCTTTGCCCTTTCCCTTGCCCTTCTCCTTCCCTTTGTGGTCTTGGCCAGTCAGGGAGATCCATCTTGTCACCTGACACTGAGAACCATCATGTGAAACTCTCAAGTGAAGCTCTCAAGTGAAAAACCCTCATGTGAAGCTCTCAAGTGAAAAGCTGTCAAAAACTCTCTAGTAAAACACCCAAGTGAAAAACCATCATGTGAAACTCTCATCAGATCACATGTGAAACGCTCATGAAAGCTCTGCAGTGAAACATTCATTTGAAAATTGACCAGAAACAAGACAGTGGCAGTGGCCTTCACTTTGGCTTTGGCCTTGGCCTTCGGGGCCTGCTCGACCTGTCCTTCATCTCCATCGCCTTGTCCCCCACCAAAGTGGGCCATGAGTCTGGCCCTAGCCTTAGTTGAAGGTTGAAGTGAACACAACACAAAACACAAAGAACAACACAGAAAAACTCTCAAGAACAACACAAAACACAAAGAACAACTTTGAACTGAAAACTAAGACTCTCAAGTGAACCCCCCAAAGAAACACTCTCAAGTGAACCTCTCCAGTGAACTCTCAAGTGAAACTCTCAAGCTTTCTCTCAAGTACTGGGCAAGTTTCATCCAGCACTTGTGTGAAGGTCCAAGTGTCCTGAGTGCCCTCCTCCTTCATCTCCTCCTCCTCCACTTCATAAGCCTCTGGCTCGGGCTCGACCTGCTCGACCTGTCCTTCATCTCCATCACCTTGACAAGCTTCTCCTCCATCGCCTTGCCCCCCACCAAAGTGGGCCATGAGTCTGGCCCTAGCCTTAGCCAGTCTTGGACTCATACTGTCGCCTGCCAACAGGCAACCAATGAAACTGCCAGAATGCAACAAGGAAGCCTTTGACAAGAACACCTCAAAGAATAACTCACTCTCAAGTGAACCCCCCAAAGAAACACTCTCAAGTGAACCCCTCAAAGAAAAACTCTCAAGTGAACCCCTCAAAAGAAAACTTTCAACTGAACTCCTCAAACAAAAACTAACTCTCAAGTGAACACTATAGGTTTCTATCGAGTGGAAGAACGTGAGAACTCTCAAGTGAAGAACCCTCAAGTGAAAACACTCTCAGGTGACAGCCATATCCCCAGCCAAGCAACCGCCTCCTGGAACCAGGGTTCAGGTTCATCCCTGGATCCAGGGAGAGGGTTGGCTCTCTCCCAGCGCATGCCAGGCATGGTCCGACTTTCTGTCAAGACCAGGTCAACATCTGTCGACGCCACAAACAGAAAGGCTGTCTGTTTGTTGTTGTGGTGGGGTGGTACTGCCCCTTCCGCACCAGTTTCTGTATCTGGAAGGGCACCCTCTCAGGCAACAGGCTGTGAACTAGAGAAGAGGCTTCATCATCGTTCAGATGGAACTCCAAACCTCGCAGAACCAGCCTGTTCCACTCCCTGGCTTCAGCAGCCATGCCCCTCCCTTCAGCAGCCATGGCTTTTCACAGATCGAGTCGGTCGAGGTTGCAAGGGTGTCTAAGTTGTGGTAGTAGATGTCAGTAGTTGTGGTACTAGATGTAAGTAGTTGAAGTAGTTGTGGTAGTAGTTGTGAAGTAGTGAAGTTGTAAGTTGTGAAGAGGTTAACTAATCTGTTCTCTTGCAGTTGATGTTGTGAAGCTTTGTGAACACATGTTTGGCAGTGCACCAGAGGTCTGCAGGGCATGCTTTCAGGTTTTCTACATGTGTGTTCCTGTGTGTGTGTCAAGTTGTTTTCAAGACTTTGTGTTTGCTGACTTTCTGTGGAGCCCTCCAAGCTGAACCTCTAAAGGTAACAGCAGTGAAACACATCGAAAGTGAAGACAACAACCCAAAAAAGAAAAAGTGAACACACCCTCAAGAGTGAACAAACATTTCTCTCAAGTGAAGAACCCTCAAGTGAATACACTTTCAAGAGAACAATCCCTCAGCTATAAAGAACATTTCTCTCAAGTGAAGAACCCTCAAGTGAAAACACTCTCAAGTGAACAACCCCTCAACTCCATAACGTTCAAGAACTGGGAAGACTCTCAAAGTCAAAACACTCTCAAGTGAAGAACTCCTCAACTATAAAAACATGTCTCCCAAAAGTGAAGAACACTCAAGTGAAAACACTCTCAAGTCAACAACCCTCAAGGTAAACTCTCAAGTGAAACCTTCAATCAAATCTCTCAGTGAACACTCGACAGTGAAGACATTATAGTTTTTTGAAGTGTTTGAAGCAATGGTTGGCACTGCCAAAGAAACATTTTATAGGTTATTCATATGAATATCCTTAGGTTATTCATATAAATAACCTATAACATTAGGTTAGGTTATCTTAAAGGTTAGGTTATGCTTAGGTTATTTTCCTATGATATAGGTTGCTTGTAAAATAAACTATCTAGGTTAACATAACCTCTGTTTTCAAATAACCTAACTCATGTTTTTTAACCTAACCCGATCTATAGGGAAGGACAACGGTATTTGATGGTATTTGATTGTACGCGGCGATAGTTGAGTCATTCTGTCTAGATGCTACATCACCATGTACAAAGCACAAGTTGCAGTGACCTTCTTCCTTGGGCCCTGCCTGCCCCCACTAGTGAAGTCTATAGTAACACCTATGCAACTTCGTGGAGAATCCACTCGTGAAGAATGTATATAGTTTTCTTTTTTTTGGGGGGGGACCGTAGGAATCGTAACATGCTGTAATCCATAATTATCCATATTCATCAATGATATATGCATGTTTATCATTGTTTATCCATGGATGCCATTACGTCGTATAATTTTCATGAACCATTAGTGCATGTTAACATGATGCCCCATGACGTATGCATGATTTAAACATGGATACATCCGGAATATCATGAATCATGAATCGATCATCGACCCCTGGCCCCCACCTCTTCGACCAACTGGAATCGGAGATCGGGAATGCAAACTGCAAACTAAGGGCTTTGTCTCAAGACGAGGTATATCATCCACTTTCTCATGGTTCTTTTCCAGAAAATTCAGGGAGCCTAGTTGTAGACACGCTCAACTTCAACAACTATTGGCAAACCCAATGTTTCGACTCACACTGAATTAGGATGGCATGGCCCCCTGCGAATAATATACCATTCCAGCCACAATGTGAACAATGAATCGGAGGGTATGCATGTTTCAGAGATCTGATAAGTATAGATATAAGTAGCCAACGGGGACTTGCGTTTCGAGACAGAGCTGAGAAGCTTGCCAGCTCTTGTAAAGCATCCATCCAGGATGAAACAAACATCCAGTCCCGCCTGGCGGCTGTGCGGTGCGGCCACGTATCCTGCGTGCGAGTGCGAAGTGTTGGCGTTGGTCTCAGTACTTGACTTGGTCAACTAAAGGGTCCACACCTCTTCCACCCAACCAGTTCCCCACCTAGCGAACGACCTCCCAGGTGGTGAACCAATAAACCCTTCGGTCTCCAGGTGCCAGGACCGCCGATTCGGGCCAGGCGGCCGTGCCCCGCCTCTGCTCGCCGGGGTTCTGCACCACTTCCAGGACTTCCACCATATCGCCAGCCTTCCACATCACTTGAGGCAGGACATCGAACGCACAGCTTAGCAGCACTTTCCGACAGCGGAAAAAACATCGAACGGATGTCAATGCATAATGCGAATGTTCAAAAAACAACACAAACAGGGACCCGGCACCCTGCAAAGCTTGCACCCAAACACGAACAGGTCCTACAGGTTGGGAACAGCTGGGAGGGCTCAAAAACCTCTGTCCATCAACTGTTTGACCCTAAACGATGAGTTCTTTTGTTTGGAATCGCCAAGAACAGAATTACACATATCGCCTCTACCCCAACAATAATCCTGTATGCAAAACAAATCCGATGACTCGATGACCTTTAAAAATACCTACCATATCATGGATGGTCTGCGGCTATCTAAATATTCCGACCACTTTATGTCCGATGTCTCCCATGAACTTGTCGAGGTTTTGGGGGCCAAGGTTTTCTCCTCAGACTCCTCACCTGCTTGAGAGAAAGGTTAGCAATTCCATATGTAACCTGGGTGGTTCCTCGCAAGCACGCCCCAGAATATGGAACAACAAAGTGGACACATTTAGATAAAGGCTCGCAAGAGCTAAGTCAGTTGTGATCTCCCATTGCATTAGCCCTTTAGGTGAATACGTAGCACTTGATTTGATTCAACGGCATGAAGTGAAGGGTCCGTCAACCAGAAAATTTCAACAAGACGCGTTAGCACTTTAGAAGGGATTAAGCAGTGACTGCAGTACGTGACTCTGGCGTCCCAAAGTCATATCACGACCGAACTATCACTGTCTTCGTTGGGCAGTGAGTGATAGTGGTCCACTGCCCCCCTGCTTTGTATACAAGTTAAAATCCTTAGAGACAGGTGTTGACACGCACAAAAAGCCGGATTGGCGCACTCGCTTTTTTGCTCCACGGGAGGGGGGGAGGGGGAAAAGTGCGTTGACTAAACGGGCCTGAAAGTCAACCTAACAAGCCTGAAAGAAAGAAACAATCGAAAAAGGAAAGAAAAGATTGGACAGAAAGGAAGGGTTGCAGGGGGTGTGGGGGTGTGGGCAGGGCGTGCTTTGACAAAACGAGCGACCGAACGAGCCTGAAGGAAAGCGCAAGCAAACGAAAAAGGCAAGGAACGAAAGGGTGCGAGGGGTGTGGGGCGGGGGAAGGGGGTTGCAGGCTCGAAGGCCTTTGACAAGAATCCGCAACCGGCGCACACTTGACTAAAAGGCCTCAGTTACAGAAAACGAAAAGACACCTAGAAAACGAAGAGCAACGGCAGGAAAGAAAGAACCGAAAAGTGATTGCTTAGCGGCATGTAATAAAGCCTATGAATACTTAGCAGCATGGCACGTCATTCTCTGAAGTGGTTCTCAGTATGCCCTGCGGCATGTAATCAGCACTTTCGAGCAACACGCTAAGTCGATGAAGTTCCAGTGCAAGCCGATTGATCCTTGAATGTTCACCCTTGAGGGCATGTGCAGGAAAGCGCCCCTTGCTGGGGATCACACCACAGCCCCCAGTGGGACCCTGTGGCGAAACACACTTAGATAAAGAGCTAAATCAGTTATGATCTCCCAGTGCATTAGCCTTTTAGGTGAATACGTAGCACTTGACTTGATTCAATGGCGTGAAGTGAAGGGTCAGTCAACCAGAAAATTTCAACAAGACGCGTTAGCACTATAGAAGGGATTAAACAGTTACTGAGGTACGTGACTCTGGCGTCCCAAAGTCATATCACGACCGAACTATCACTGTCTTCGGTGGCCAGTGAGTGATAGTGGGCCACTGCCCCCTCCTTTATATACAAGTTCAATTCTTTAGAGGCAGGTGTTGACACACACATATACCATATACCCCTCCAAGACCTACCTTTTCACCATTCCAAGCACATGTGTATCATGTGTAGATATTGATACAGATACTTCATTGTCAGGCAGAAGATGCGTTGGTTGCATTGTTTCGGTTGGCTGCAATGATAGCATTCTACAGATAGGTTGTCAGAGTTAGTGCCATGTCACAGATAGGTTGTCAGACTTGGCAGGTAGGTTGTTAACTTTAGTTGCTCATGCTTTTGAATGTTTCAGGCTGCTGCAAATGTCAATGCGGATTTTCGGTACCTCTAGGCAGACAAGCGGCGCAACGCCCATTGGCACAAAGAACCAGTGGCAAGCCTCACGTCTTCATTCTTGCGCCAATATATATATTGGGCGGGTTGCAATTTGGCTCTCAAAGATGCGATCCAGTGATGCGGTCTTTCAAGAAGCGCCGGCTCCGATCAATCGTTTGCGTTCCGGCTTTGACTTGAATCTTTTTCTTGGAGCCAGGGAGCTTGTGTTCTACTACCTTGACGTAACGTGGATCCATTTCCAAACACCCCGTACCTTCACGTGTTTTTTGCAAAGAATGACACGGTCATGCAACACACCGTCAACACGCATACGATAGCTTTTAGCTGAATCAACAGGATCCGACTGTGGGCACACCAGGGCACTCCTCCTCGGAAGATGTCTCAGACGAAGAATCGCTGCAGCTATCAGACGTACTCTCTGAAGATGACGATGTGGGCACCACGTCTGTCAAAGCAAGAACCTCGAACGCGAGAGTTGTGTGTGCGTGCATGAAAGATGCGTATGCGAGGGGTACCTGTCAAGAAGTTTCTTTGGCCATACACTCACAAATTCAACGGACATGTATAAAATTTGCAAGCACATATGAAGAAACTTGTTCGGGAGCTGCCAGGGCCTTTGCTTTTGCCTTCGGTGCCCGGCGCCCGGTTCACTTTTTCGGTCGAGCCAAGATTTCGAGGAAGCGACGTTCGGCCGTTGCAGACCAAGATCCGAGAAGCCCAACTGGTGTCAAACCTAACCCCTTCTGAATGTTGCAGACCTTGGCAGCAACACGTTGTTTCACAAGGGGTAGGCGTGAATTGTGCACCGGTACATCTCCGTCCACAGCTCGGTTCAGAAGACGTTGGAGGTCGGAAGCATTGGTTTGGCTGGGTTCCGCTAAGGACACGTCACCACAGCCTGCGGACCACAACTCGACCGGAGACTGCAATGGACATGACGCAGAAAGCGTGCAACTTTGAGGACGATTTGGATTTGAACTGGTAACTGCGGACAGGACAGCGTACGAACAGGACGTCTTACATGCATTCAAGGACAAACGGCCTGCAGTCCGACAACCAATGCTGTTTACCTAGTCCTGCTGCGCCACAGTTCCAAGCTGATATTGCTCTGAAACAGTGCCATGTCAAGTCTGTGTCACGTCTGAGCCAAGCCTGAGCCAAGTCTGAGCCAAGTCTGAGTCAAGTCTGAGCCAAGCTTCAGCCAAGTCTGACTACAAGCCAAAGGGATTCTTAGAATCCCTCCAAAATCTTAGAATCCAAAAATGTTAGACTCCAAAGGAATTCTAAGATTCTATGATTTTGGAGGGATTTGGATTCCAAGATTTTGGAAGGTCTTAGAGTCCCTTTGGATTTTGGGAGGGTTCCAAGAAGAGTTTCTAGACATCTTAGAATCTTAGAGTCGCTTTGGTTTTAGTCAAACTTGGTTCTAGAAGCCTTAGAAGCTTAGAATCAAAAGAAGATATTAAATTGGTCAGGGAGTTATTCTGGGTGTCACCATCTTTGTGGTGCACCTCTTCTCTTGGGCCTAATTTTCTGCCCAGTCTGTCTTGGCAACTCCTGTGGAATTGGACTCTCCTTCCACCCACCCTCAGTCCAATGTACAGGCCACCCCTACCTATCTTTGAGGTGCCCATGCACTCACCATTTGCAGCCACAGGCACCCAATCACTGACTCCAGGGCCCAAGTCCAACCTGCCAACATGGAGCCAAACTCCAACCACTGCACCATTGCCAGCCCAGTCCTTCATCAAGATCTCTTCCCCTTCCTCCTCCATCTTGAGCCCAGGCTGTGGTGACCAAGGGGGGGTGAACCCAAGCATGCTTAAACAAAACAACATGAACAAAACCACTGTAAATACCCGTATTTGTTTGAAAAGGTAGGTCTTGGAGGGGTACCATATATACATATACATATATATATATATAAGCACTGCTTTAGTTCATCACATTACACATGCAAACACATAATCACTGTATGTCTTTAAAAGGACCAAAAGCACAAACACATGTAAAGCTTACTACATCTTAGTGCTATGTATAGGGTGAATGAAACGACATTGCATTTTTCAAGTCTCCCAATCAATACATAAATTGGTGGGTGAGCATCGGTGTGCAGGAAACTGTCCCTTTCGTCTTCGATCAGACTGCAGGCCTTCAACTCGACTCTGATCTCTTTCGTTCCAGACATGTGCACCTCATGTCGCATCCGAAGTGTCGATGCTGAGTCAACACGTTATAACGTCAGCTCAAGTGAGTTAACAGCCATTCAAACATCTTTCCACCGAATGAAGTTTTCCTACTAGGGATGTTGACTCAACCCTACGGGGGGTGTTGTGTTTTAGTTGACCCAAGTTGACCCCAAATTCACCACCATCCTTTCATGCAATAGCAAACTACACAAGTAACCCATCACAAAATGGAGCTGGGAAGTTTTGGAGCTGGGCGTCACGTCACTGACGCCGTGAAGTTTGGAGCGTCAAAGATTGAACAAATGAACAGGACTTGCGCTGTGGGCGTCCATGTGCTTGAGCCACAGCCATAACCACACCATTTCTACACAAAACATAACAACATTATATATTCATTCACCCAAGCAACGGAGAACCTCTTCCAGTCCAGGGCAGTCTGAAAACCCTCTAATACCTAAGCGGCTAGGAGCTCTTCTTCCTGATTCCTGAAGTGTATTGAAGTGTAATTGATCGTGAGGAGGTGCTGGCACACCCAGGGACAAACTTAAGCCATGCACTCCAGTGCACATCAAGAATGTGGGAACACTGTTCCACCACCAAACGGACTCTGACAGGCTATGGACATATGCCTTTACAGTGTTGCCGGTGTCTGCAACTGCTCCATTGGGATCCAACGGTTTCTGAAGCAACTGTGTAGCAATTCGGCCGCATCTGACCGCCCCTACACAAAGTCCAGGACTACCAAGAACTCGACCGTTCACACATGCACGCACGTTGTAGTGCCTCCCAAACAGCCTCCTCAGGCTCACAAGACTCCAAGGTTACCAACCGCAAACTTGGTAGTTGCGTGACAGCCAAATGATCCTGCAGCTGGCCATATGATCTCACTTTCTGGAGTCCGACGGAAAAGAGATCTTTTGAGCATCCAACCGTCCGACTTCCTGCCAGGAGTTTCTCCAGATCCACTATCCAAATGTTTCACATGTGTTCACTCTCCATCATGAAGCCCAAATCCTCCTCATGAGCAAAGTGACAGTGGCACCTGAGAAGATTGTAATCTCCATTGCTCACGCCATGCCACGCTCTCACCAGGTTTTGGTCTCTAATCAGCCATAAAGGAGCTCGTTCTGCACTCGACCAAATTACAGGGACCTCGTGGTGCGCCGTTGAGCAGATCATTTACAATTGTTTCACAGTAGATGGCGCAAACCTAATGTATTTTACATGGGGGTCCATATATAAATCACCTGTGGGGGATGGTGCCATGTTTTTGTTGGTGTTTGATTGCAGCGGTTTGTGACTGCACCCTGGGACTCCAACGACTTGGCCAAACACTGCATCAATGGAATAGTTTTTACTAAACTATATATATATAGCTACTATATACTACATACATTGATCATCAGTGATCCCTTTTCAACCACTCCAAGCAAATATTCCTGTGTGGAGTGTAGGGATTCCTGGATGTCATGCGACGCGGTCGGGGCCACGCGTTTGGCACCAGGTCCCCGGGCCGTTGGGACTACCGCAGCGCGCTTCAGCAACACATAGATGCCCGGACGGTCCTTGAATGAGTCCTGAGGACGGGCATTCGGATCAAGAAAAACAAACAAAAAGGATGGTGGGGAAAAGCAGATCTGTGTCATACCGACGCAAAATCATAGACCCGAAGTTAGGGTGGTTCCTGGGCACCTTTTTCGCCAAACACCTCTGGGAGGGTCCAGGTAGGATTTACGGGTGGAGAAATAAACAAGTGACCAAAAGTAATTCTATGGACTTGTGTTTCAAGGGTTCGTTCACCAGCCAAAAGCAGGTCATTTGATGGTCAATACAAAAGACCATTCTGTGGCGTGTTTGATCAGCAGGTGATCCACATGGTGATCCAAAACCTGGGTCGTCAGGTGACCATCGCCCAACAATCGGTTTCGAGAGGTGAATCACTGACCAAGTATGTAAAGGTTGGCTGGCTGGCACTCAGTCACTAATTTCTCGGACTTGTATGGCTCCTCATTTTCATATACAACCATTTTTTGTCCTGGTGAAGAAGCACAGTCAACATCCATTGATGTCACGCAAATAGCTTGTATAGCATCAGCTTGTTTGGTTCCCGAGCGAAGAACAACCAACTTTGACCAATGGCAATGCAAAATTTTCAAACAACCGACATGGATATATGATATGGATATATCACATGATCTTCATATGTCTCTTCTCGCCGGCATCGTGGTCTTCTCCCTCTTCGCGATGCGGGTCGGTGGCCCGAAACTTCCCCATTGCCCCGTCCCACGCCGGTGGGATGTGACAAGCCACCGTCTCAGGTTAAGAGTTCAAGATGCCAAACACATGCCAACACTGCAGCCGTAAACCAGCTTGGCTGGCTCTTCCGAAAAGTGGGTGTGCTACGAATTCGCTCCATTTCGCTTCAAACAGCCCATTCTCCTCGGCTGCTGGAGAGGTGGCCACAGTCGTAGCCATAGCAGTGTCTGGCGCTTGGGGCTTGGAAACACGGTCGGTCATTGGTCATCTGTACATATCTGTCCGATGGGTCAAACCAGGTCAAACCACCCAGGTGAGTCATTTGTTGTGTTTTGTTAAAGGTATATAAAGTAGGTTAATCATTCAATTAGAAAACGCTACTCAAGTGGGTCAATCATGGGTCTCCCTTTAAATAAGGATAAAACAGTGCACACCGCCGAGTAAAACTGGCGGAGCATTCTTTCACCCGTCATGGAAGTTCATGTTCACAAAATCCAAGTGTTGCTTGGCCAAATGCGCCACCACTTTCAGGCCGTGTTTCTGAACTGCGGTCCATGAGGTTTACTTCTTTTGGTGATTTTTGGTGTGACCTTCAGGAAATAGACACCCTGTGATATCCATGCTGTCCTCTTTCTCATCCAGAATCCCAGACAGAAAACCTGCGTCACTTCACCTGTCACCATCCTGTGACGTGGTCACCTGGCTGACACCCATCCGACGACGATCTCCAAACATGACACCCTGATCAACATGGACACAGAAAAGTGATGAAGCAACTCGAACCTTGCCATATTGATCATATTGGAACAATCCTTCATTCTGCTGTTTGGACTGTCAGATTTGCTCTTCGCCCATGCCCAGCCTGGGGAATCCCCAACTTCTTCCACCGCCTGCGCACCACGTGGCGCCGCGAACCCACGGAACCACTCGGAACCGCAGTTTGCTGCTGGCCCCAGGTCTTCCAACGCGGTGGCAGTGGCGCACTTTGGGATGACCCTCTCCCGAGCGGTTCCGCTTCACCAGTCGTTGCGCCAAACCAATCCGTGGTCGAAAGGTTGGTGTCGCCGGTCGTGAAGCGCAGCTGGTCCAATGGGGACATCCAGCATGAGTTGGGAAGTGGCAACAATTTTCGATCTGTGGAGGGAAATTACCTTCGCGATCCCATCTTTATAGATACTTCTATACATATAGCAATAATACAGTATATCGATCCTTGCATCAACATGCTAGGTCTTGTGGTTGGGCGACCGCTGGCTTCTCTCTCACAACCGCCCTCCAGCTGCCAGAGATATCCAATATTTTCCGATATCCAAAGCTCCGCCCATTTCCACGCCCCATGACCTCCGCATGCTCGATCTCCAGGACTTGTGCCACAAGGACTGAGACAAAACAGTAGAAGAAGAAGGACCTAGGCAACAGATAGGGGTAGGAATTTCCCTACCCCTTCGGCGGTGGTCAGTATATATATATATATACTTTTTAATATATTATGTTATATTCCCTATACAGTCTATATATTCCCTTACCCCATGGATCCCCATGGTATATAAAATTTCAATCTCTTATGGCAAAACTCAGCCCACTGAGGGGTGGTGTCACCCGAGTTCTGTGTCACCTCAGTTGCGGGACCACCATGGTCATGGTCAGGGAAACCGCGCAAATGAGTTAACGGTTGACGTTTCTCGTGCGTGCTTGGCGGGACAAGTGGATACAACACGTGACCTGAGCACACCTGACTGGTGGTGACACCTGTTTTCCTCGTGGTTTAATTACAGGCTCCAGCATTCTGCGATGTTGATCCACATCCGAACGGCTATGGTAGATCCATGCCACCCACCAAAAACACCTGGCATGGGGCGGAATCTACTCAGTACTACTCAACCGACTGACCTTCCACGATCCAAAACGAAAACACCCTCAAGGAAGGTCCTGCTGACCTGAGTACAACACGGAGACGCCTGGCGCAATGACGAACGTCTGTGAGGCTAACGAGGCACTTGAAGCCGCTGCACAAGGTGCACTCATAGCCTGGCAGAACGACCGGTCCGGTCAGGGATGAACATCTGTCGACCAAAATCTTTTGAAGTGGGGCTCAAAGGCGAAGGCGAACCTCCCACATGGCTGCTGGAAAACTAAAGCACCGCCCACTTCCCAATGTACAAAAAACATCTAGAAACCAATACCAAGACAACGACATAGGCCAAGGCCCTATTTTGGAAGTTCTTCTCACTGCTCAGCCCCACGAACAAAATCATAGGGGCGTCTACTTTAATAGGCAGAGCCTTGAACCCCATGGATTGACTGGTTTTCTTCCCGAACCTTCCAGGCGGGTCGTACTGGAGACCCCTTTTTGATACACCAGAGTCACATGTCCGGGGAGATTGCGTGGCAGGCGCGCAATTTGATCCCCCTGTCCATATCCAGGGGGTCCTGTCATTGATTTTATAGATATGATATGGTGGGGGTGACCACCCCTGGTATGTATAATGACTGTCCAACCAAAATTGAATCTCCATAAAGTGAGTGGACCGACCCCCTCAAAAAGGTCAGATACAAGTTGCAAGCATATAGAGGCCGCAATATGAGTAAACAATAGTAAACATCGTGAATGTTTCAATCATAAATCATGCCTTCATACATCTTCACATGCGCTGACAACCCCCGCGCACTTTTCATCTTTCATCTGCTGCGCTGTCTTCACGGTCTGTGTCTTCTATGTCTTTGGATGTTTTCCCACACAATGGAGCCGAAGGCCACCTTGGAAAACCCCCAGGATCTTGGAAAAATTCCAAAATCAAACCCTATTTCATGGGTCAGGTCACCCCATTTTATAGAGGAGAGGCTTCCCACACAATAGAGAAATCACGAGGAATCTATAAGAAACCCCATAATTTTAGAGAGGCATCTCCTTCTATAAAATGTTGCCCTTCGTGGTAGGGTGGGTGGGTGATAAAGGTGGCATGGTTCATAGTTGGGTGACGTTGCTGCAGATGCTAGCAGGATTTAGCAAGTGGTCGAGGACTCTCCAGGCATGTGTGTTCATGCATGTTCCTAGAATCCTCGCACTGGTGGTGTCATGCGGTGCCCATGCCTATTCTATTCTATTGATCTCTATTATTATTGTGTGGAAGCCTCTCCTCTATAAAATGGGGACTCACTCACTCACTCACTCACTCACTCACCACCGCCACCATCACCACGATCTCCACCTTCATCACCACCATGATCTCTGGACCCCAATGCGTCTAGATCTCCAGACTTTCTGCTGCTACACCTCTAAGCCTCACACACACACACACACTGTTTGGGGCCGGCCTCTTGCCGGGACTATGTTTTGATGTAACGATTGTTTTCTTGTCTTCGCAAAAAAAATGTTGTGGTCCTTAATGTAAACAAGTTATTGTCGATGTTTTGGAAACGTTAACAAATGAGACAAAATCAGCAGTTCAAAGAGAGCAGCGCCATCTGTTCACTATCTGTGGAAGCTCGCCAACAAGCTGCTGCTTTGGGTCTGGAAAGCTACTGCTTGCACCTTACTTCAAAAGCTTCGCGGTGTTTCAGGACCGGGGGGTTGCTCTTGAGCTGGGCCACTCCTTCCTTCAGCTTCAGAGTTGGCGCTCTGGGGCTTGGGCCAGCTGAGCTTCACACAGGACTTCCGCAGGCGAATGCCTTCTTGCAACCCGGGATTCAGGAACAACATCCCTTTTGCAAGGCAGAGTTTGTCCTCAACAAGGGGCAAGATTGTTCTGAACTGGCAGGCCCTGGAATCCTTTGAGAAGGCCCAACTTCTTGGCAGCTGCGGGGGCGATTTCAGCTTGGCCGTCCGTGACATCAACCTTTTCACCCCACTTCTCCTTGGCGATGTCAGCGTTGCAGGTGACGCGAGTGTCCAGGGGCATTGGATGAAAGAGGCTGTTTCTGGAGCGGTTTTGCGTTAAATTGCTTTGAGGTGTTCAATTTGTTTGCGAGCTCAGCCTCGGACGCTTGATTCGCTGGCGCATGACGCCGGCGGCAGTTGCGGGCGACGTCCAGGTCCCGCAGTTTGCGGGCGGCAGCCGTGTTGTGTGGACCCTGAAACACAATGACTCTAATGCACGTGTTTGTGCGTGACCCCAGGTTTAGAACAGAAGTCGGCCTCACGTACGGCCGCACTGTAAGCACGTCGCCGTGCCACCTTCAAGGCTTCAGTAGCCTGGCAAAAAGGCGCTTAGAGCACGCCTGGGTTGCATGCGTACTGTATGTGCGTCCGTGTGTCCTACCCCGTTTGCAAGGGTTTTCATGACCAACAAAGCTGGGTGATATCGCGGGATGTGGGACTTGGCGCAGTCCCATGTACCTGTGGTGTTGTTTGGATTTTACGCATGGCGTGAAATCAAGAGTGCTATTCAGTAACTAGTTTGAGTAACGCTTTGTTCAAACATCTTCAAGCGCTCGGACCTTTTACCTGTGTTCTGCTGCGCTTTCCCACTTGGGTGCGCAGTGTGATCCCCGCAAGGGGCGCCGAAGCCATCGTGGATTATCTTTTTCAGCGCAGCGGTTTTGCGTGACTAGATCTCTCTAACTGCTTAGGCCTGCGCGGATCAACTGATTCTTATGCCGCCGGGCTTACGGAGTATGAACGCCGCCGGGCTTACGGAGCACCCCGGCCCTCTTTCTTTCTTGCCGTTTCTTCGTCTGTTAGGTGTTCCTTCAGGCTTGTTAGGTGCCTTTTGGCTAGAGGCCTTTTAGGTATGTAGCCTTCTCAGTCATGCGCTAAGCACTCTTTTTTCCAGTCAAATGCTAAGTATTCACCTCTTTAGAACCTTATAAGTAGTTCTTAAGCTGTCTACTGCGTTGATACCTTCTCAACGCCGGTGCACGCCGCAATGCGGCGCTTTGTGTGCGTTCTATAGACCCTGTTTCCAAGCGTTTTCACCGCAGGGGTCAAGGCGCGATATCGCAACCTTGACGAACGAAGCTGGGTGATATCGCGGGATGTGGGACTTGGCCAGTCCCATGTACCTGCGTTGTTTGAATTTATGCATGGCGTGAATTCAGGAGTGCTAAGTATTCAGTAACTAGTTTGAGTAAAACTTTGTTCAAGCATCTTCAAGTGCTCGGACCTTTCACCTTACCGTTCCATCACTACAGTCAAGGGTCGTGCATTCGTTGGATTATCGCTTGAATGAACCTATCGAAGTGTCTGTGTTTCGCCGGCACCCGTGATCGCCGTGTTGAATCTTTGACCTTTCTCTCTCTCCTCCCCGCCTGCTGCCGCTTCATCTTTGCCGCGACCCTTTTGCGCTCTTTGCGCAGGCCCTTATCCGCCTCTTTCTCTGCAGCCTTTTGTGCCTTTAGCACTTTCTTCGCGGCGCGGTGAGCAACCTTAAATTGCTCCGCCGCTGTCTTTTAGTCTGGCCTCCGCTTGGTGGCACTCTCGGCCAGCTTTTGTTGCATGGAAGTTGGGCCTCCTGGCGACGCCGCTCGGGCCAGGGACGCGGACTGTCCTAGAAGCTGAAGGGTATGAGGACAGGAAGCTATACAGGTTGCTTGCTTGTGCGTTTCGCTTGCGCGCGGTCTATCGCACGCTCGCGCCGCGCATCTGCCTGTCCACAAGTTGTGTCGCACCAGTGTGGGTCACACCTGACACCAAAAAACGCTCCATGCACACACGCTCTCTCCTGAAGCATTTCACTCCAAGTTCCAGGCATCTTTTGCGGAGCTGGCGGTTGACCGCCAAAGCAAACGGTTCCTGGTCTCCCACCTCATTTTCCCAGCTACGCATGGTTCCCTAGATTCGTTCTCATACCCAATTCTGTTTCTCACATACGCCAATCTTCTCTAAGCCCCTCGCGTAACAGAGGTCTGCAATCCTGCGGTATGCAGCGTGCTGGCACTCCACTGCTTCGTCGTGCTTGTGAGGCAAACGAGCGTAGCCCTTTTGAACGGTGTCGGCAGATGCGAGGAGGGCTTGAGCGGTGGGGCTTGCTTCCAAGCTGGCAGTGGAATAGAAGATGTGCCCGGTTTCCCAGGTAGGCGCGATATTGTAGGGTCATGAATTTCAATTGCCCTTCATGATCCTCTTTGAAGGGAATAGCGCTCCCAATGCTAAGCTGGCCACCTGCTTGGGGGGTCCCCAGGATCCTTGAAAGGGCCGGTCTCCGCACCCTCTGCCTCTGCAGCTCCTCGATCTCAGCGAGCGACCACGTCCTAATTATTAATGATCTATTGATGATATCTTGATGATCTATATCTGAATGATCTATATCCTAGCAAAGACCCCACTCTGCCATCTCTGCCATGTTGGCAAAGGCCCCCTGTGTTGAGCCACTCAGCGTGCGGTTTTCGTAATTATATACAAGACTCATTTTCGCTCTTGAAGCCTTGGTTTTGTTATTAAAACATGACTTTCGTCATTAAGAGGTACCCTGCCTCCCAGGCAACGACCCCCTGGAAGGTTCGGGAAATAGACCAGTCTACTCTACCCATGGAGCTATTCCGCTTTCTTCCACACATCGAGGCCTGAACCATGGCCTCCGGCTGCGAAGCCTGAAGCGGAGCGACTCCGGTGCATGTCGCTGGCGATTGTTGGTAGTGTCTAAGAGAACCAACCGGGTGCCAGTTTTGTGCTAATATATGCATGAATCGAACAAAAGCGAAGAGAACCGCTGTGAGAAGTCTCTTGCTCTGGTGCAATTGGATGCAATTGGTATGTTGGTGGTTTCATGATGCTTTATGGAGCAACTCCAATTTCAGGCTGAGTTATTAGACCAGTTCCAGAGGACATTGAAGAAAAACATGCCGAAAGACGCCGCTGCGAGCCATCGGATGATTCCTTTCTTCCCTTCGCAAACTCAATGTACCGACTGAATCCGTAGGATCACTTGCGGGCCTGCAACAAGAATCATATCATGTTCACAACCTTGCGATACAGGAACATCAATATATTGGGAGAATCTGGAGAATCAGTAAATCTGGATCATTAATGTATCTCGTGATACAAGAACATCTGGAGAATCAGTTTAGTGATCAATATCTTGTCTCTCTTCACTGGATCCTCAAAGCCCACTGGATCTCAAAGAGCTAGAGTCCGACGGAGAAAGCGGATCGTTGCTGGCCTGTATTTAAGTAAGCCAAGATGAGCATAACCAAGAAGATGTCTGACATCCTCAACCAGCGAGGGATCCCCAGAGAGTGCCGAGTGCGGTGTGGGATGTGTGTTGCATGCATGTGTTGTTCCAAGTGAGGACAACTTCGAAGACCTTCCGGTCTGTCAAACTGGAATTGATTAGGCCACTTATGCGCAACAGCTCGGCAAAAGGAGTCAACAGCACAGGGGTTGCATGCAACTGTGACTCTCAAAAAGAACTGAGCGTCGAGAAGCAACAACGATGCTACTGACTAAACAACCCAATCAAAAGACACCAACTGCGTGTTGACAAAGCTCGCTGCATCCCTGCTCTAAGCCAGCGGCTGATATGGTGACAGTGCCTGGAGCTGGTCTTGGGACTCGTGACGCAATCGAGCGCGATTTCTGTGACATGTGCGAACTCGGGGTCCAGCACAAACCGAGCCAGCCCTGATGTCCTCACAATGATTGATAGCTTTCGGCTTCGCTTGGCGAGCTTCTGACCCACACCCATCAGTTGTTCTCGGAGCTTGCTCACTGAGCGTGGGGCGCAAAGGAGTTGGCAAAACCTCCGCAGCGGTGGGCGCAGGTTTTGGGCAGCACACGCTCCACTTGCGCGGTCCAGGATTTGATGGTCAACCTACTGCAAAATAGAACTTTATCTTCTTCTTGGTGAGAATGATGAGATCTTTAAGTCTTCCAAGATCTTCCAAGCATGAGAGGTGCATGTACCATGACGCCGCAAGGCCATGATCGGAACATGCGCCCAAAGACTCAAACAAACACGTACATTTTCCAGGTATCGTTTGTGACGGCACTCGCCACTACCACCCATTCCTTGCGCGGTGTATGCATTAGCCCTTGTTCAGTCACGCCGGTCTGTTAATGATGCAAAAAACATAGAAAGGCCAAGGGGAGGATCCAAGGCAAACATTTGGGCTAACCGCCCCGTGTGCCATAAACCCATGCGCCGTTTAGATCGAACATTTACTGTGCTTGATCCTCAAATTGTATAGGTCCCGCAAAACACAACAAATATCATGTAACATGTCCCATATCTGTCACTATTTAGTGGTGGTCTTCAATGCGTTCATCAAGAGTAGCACAACAATAACAAGGTGGCTTTTGTTTCGGTCTCTACTGGTCTGTTTGGTTTCCCCCGCTTTGTTTAGCGCTGCGGACCGTCGGGAACTGGGGTTTCCTGGCTTCATGTGCTGCTGCGGCGTCACCGTGGAGGGCGGATGCATGACCAGAAAGGTCGTGGCCTGCTTCACTGCCAGGGAGAGCGGCAAAGGTGGAGTATTGGTGAGAAGGTGGCGATGGCTGCACATGGTTACCACAGCCTCTTATACAGTAACAACATTCATGATTTGTTTTTCATTCGCTTTGTTGCACTGAAAATGATAAACCATGATAAACCCATGCCCATGCCCTTGCCAAACCACTCAACGGTACCACCCAAACCCATTGGTCAAAGGGTGACAGGATCTGTGATCTGGGTATGGTTAGCCATACCCGCCATACTCAAAAAGAGCATCAAAAACCAGTGTCCTGAAGCTCCCAAAGGGCAGTTCTTGGGGGTTGCAAAACGCCCAGACCGCTCTGGGGGCAGTGACGAACTTGAAGAGCGGGATGATGGCGGAAAAGACCAAGACCTATGCGCTCAGTCGGAGCGAGAGCTCATCGCCTTCTCGTTTTTTTGGTCTTCTCTTTTTTCTCGGGCTTCACATTAGACATCCTGAACAACAAATGCAACGGACATGATCATGACATCTAAATGTATATATATATATATATATTAATGAAACACGTGCACTAAGCATTGGCACCGGTTCATTACACTCCTTTCAAGCAGCTTCGACAATTGATGTTGGATCTAAATTAGCATAGCCCGTCCCCCCTCAAGCAAAACAATCGAGGGAGTCGGAATAGAAACCTTACCACCAAAAGTAATGGTAGTAGTAGTCGTCGTCGTCATCGTCGTTGTCGTCGTCTTAGTAGTAGTAGTGGTAATAGTACTAGCAGTAGTACTAGTACTGGTACTAGTAGTACAAGTACTGGCACTAGTCGTACTAGTACTAGAACTGGTCCTAGTGCTAGCACTAGGATTATAAAAACAACTTTCATATGGTAAGGCCAGAATCCGTGATTAAAAAAAGTCAAAAAAGTCAACTGGAAAAGTCAAAGTCAAAAAAAAATCACATTGAAAAGTCAAAAAAGGAGTCCAAAAAAAATCAACCATAGACCACAGCTCGAAAAAGTAAAAAAACAGTCAAAAAGTCAAAAAAGTCGAAAACAAAATAAACAAGTCAAAACTGTGCCTCCTCGCCTTGGCGGATTACTGGAGTCAATAAAAGTCAAAAAAAAAAACAAATCGAAAAAAAAGTCAACCGTAGGCTACAGCTCGAAAAAAGTAAAAACAAGTCAAAACAAGTCGAAAAAAAGTCAAAAAACAGTCAAAAAGTGTAAAAAAAAACAAATTGAAAAGTCAGTCGGATCTAGGCAAATTTATTTTTTTTGACTTTTTGAAATTTGCTGATTTGACTGTTTTTTGACTTTGACTTTTGGGATTGATTTTTTTTGACTTTTTTAAATGTAGAACACAGGCTCTTTCCAATAAAAGTGTTTTTTTATACTAGGACAGGTGCTAATGCTAGTGCTAGGACAGAACTAGTAGTAGTAGTAGTAGTAGTAGTAGTAGTAGTAGGAGTAGCAGTAGCAGCAGCAGCAGCAGCGGTACGAGTAGGAGTAGGAGTAGGAGTAGGAGTAGGAGTAGTAGTAGTAGTAGTAGAAGTAGCAGTCGTAGTGGTAGTAGTAGTGGTAGTGTCGTCGTAGTAGTAGTAGTAGTAGGGTCAGCAATAGCCATATATAATAAGTAATTGCAATTATTTTTTCCTAGGGCTCCAAGATTACTTATTAATCCCACCCCCTAAACAATTCTTACTTGAGGCCAGGGGTTGGTGACGAAAGCTAGCAGGGTCTGGAAACACGAGGTAGTGGTGAGAGGTATTGAATATATATATATATACACACACTCTGACACTTGTATTCAGTGACTCAGTTACCACGTTGGGATAATGGTGAGGGAACAGCAAGGCGCATGAGTCGGCCATAACAGTATTGTTTAAAAAATGTTTCCACAGGTGCAAGTCTGCAGAATGACCTGTCGGCACTGACACTCAAAGGCGGCTGCAGAGCGTTGCAAGGTGGCGGTGGGTTTGTGGGAGGTATCATGAAGGACCATGAAACAAACCGTGGAAGAGTGGAGTAACAGCGTATGAAGAAATTTGCAGGTACGTTCTCAAGGCGTCCCTTGAGAATATCCTGACGAATGGCTGGAGCTTCGTTGGATCAGGCCAAGCCAAACGTCCCTGATCCCCCTGCTTGCGAGAGGTGGTGGTGGAAAACCCTTTGTCCAGGGGTGGACACACACACACAGAGCCGTTTTCGGCGCGGTCAAAGTAGTAGTAAGGCCAGGGGCCTCCAGTAGCGTCCTAACTCCCAGGGGAACATTTGTACAAAAAGCGCCAAATTGTTGGCGCAACGAAAAACTAGTAGACACCTAAAAAGCCTTGGAAAGACAGAAAAAGCAACGAAACAAGAGCAGACTAAGAGGGCAAGAAAGAAAAGTAGGGTAGTTACGAGGCCCACTTAGTTAAACGAAAGTAGAAGGCGAGCGGGACATTCGTCTTAAACCGCCCGGGTAGCTAGCAATAGCTAGGAGAAACAGAAGGAAAGGCACCAACACACAAGTGTGTTGAGTGCGATTTCCTTCTGTTTCCCGAGTAGCGGGTGGGATAGCAACGGAGGCCTGGGGGGAGGGGGGGGGGGGGGGGTGTGCATGATGAATTCATCCGGCCTGTGAATACTTAGCAGCGCAGGCATGTGAATACTTAGCCGTCAAGCATGTTCAGGCTCGTGGAAAAACAAACATGACTTGGAGAAGTGAACATGACGGATCCGAAATCTGAAAGCTGATATCCGATGTATTCTTCAAGAACCGTTTTTTGGCCCGGCGGCCGGTATGTCGGTTGATTCGGTGAGGGTGTCGGTGCCTTCCTGTGAGAGTCCAGTGAGTGGTGGTGCGTTGTGGTGGTTGCTTTCCCATGCATAATCTGCGCCCCTGTGACGGGGATCACACTCAGCACCCGAGTGGGACGGCTGAGCGAAACACACTCTGACACTTGTATTCAGTGACTCAGTTACCACGTTGGGATAATGGTGAGGGAACAGCAAGGCGCATGAGTCGGCCATAACAGTATTGTTTAAAAAATGTTTCCACAGGTGCAAGTCTGCAGAATGACCTGTCGGCACTGACACTCAAAGGCGGCTGCAGAGCGTTGCAAGGTGGCGGTGGGTTTGTGGGAGGTATCATGAAGGACCATGAAACAAACCGTGGAAGAGTGGAGTAACAGCGTATGAAGAAATTTGCAGGTACGTTCTCAAGGCGTCCCTTGAGAATATCCTGACGAATGGCTGGAGCTTCGTTGGATCAGGCCAAGCCAAACGTCCCTGATCCCCCTGCTTGCGAGAGGTGGTGGTGGAAAACCCTTTGTCCAGGGGTGGACACACACACACACACGAACACCTGAAGCCAACTACAGGGCGTTGAACTCCACAGTGTGGTGTAAATTGTGGTTTGGTGTAAACCGTGGTTTGAAGTAACCGCTGCTTGGTGTAAACCAGAGGTCCTTGTAAACCGGGGGTCGTTGTAAAGGGTGTGTGGTGTAAACCGTGGTGTGGTGTAAAGCATGGTTGGTGTACATCGTGGTTCGGCGTATACAAGCCAGGTGGAGGAGAATGCTACCAATCCATGGAAAAATGGGACCAAACGATGTTAAACGCAAGCAACACAGGCGACATGCGCGCAGAAACACAAGCGAAACGCAGGCGACGGGAGGAGCAGCCTGGGACAAGGACAAGCAACACGATGACGAAGATGATGCGGCGACCAAGACGACGAAGGCAACAATCAAATGACCTAGTAGATCGTCCTCTCCAAGGCCTCGGTCGAAGGGGGGGAACTCCAGCTAGCTGACGCTAGCTTTCGTGACTATTCCCGTACCCGAGACTGCCCCCGAGGCTTGTGTACTACCCGCTTGAACAAAAATGTTTGAGGCAATGAAGTCGATAAGTTTAATTAGGGGTTTTAAAAACATATTCAGGTCAAAGTTCTGTGAATCAAGCAGAACAACTCAGTAGTAGTAGTAGTAGTAGTAGTAGTAGTAGAAACAGTAGTAGTAGCAGAAATAGTAGTAATTAGTAGAAATAGTAGTCGTAGTAGTAGTAGTAGTAGTAGTAGTAGTAATTAGTAGAAATAGTAGTAGCAGTAGAAGTAGAAGTAGTAGTAGTAGTAGAAGTAGAAGTAGAAGTAGAAGTAGTAGTAGTAGTAGTAGTAGTAGTAGTAGTAGTAGTAGTATATAGTGGTAACTGGGTGAAAAAAAACATGTGTATTATTCCATTCGATATTAAACTGTTCAGGGTGTGTGAATAATTTTGCGAAACTGTTTGTTGTTCCGTCCCATTATTCTAATTTGAATGCGCCATTAATGCTGATGAACACTTGACGTCATTGGGGCATTACACGCTCACTTTTAAGCATTTGCACGACTAACAACACAGCCAGCACCAGCAAGCAACAAAGGCTGATCTGAGGAAGACAACCTCCATCCATAGAATGTTAAAAACATGTTAAAACATATATACATTTATCTTCAGAAAACATCGGCTGAACCTGATTTGATTAACAACTAGACTTTGGACCCGCACAAACACAAAGTAACAAAACAACAACATCCTCTATGCCAAACGATCCGATTGCTCTAACTTACATTAACACATTGCGAGCACCAGGAGCATAAGCAAACAACAATAATTCACGCATAAGACTATTGCACTTGGGTAACTCAACATGGAACCTGAAAATGGACCTCTGGATTGGAAAACTATTTTCCTCTCCAACCCAGTAGTTTTCAGGTTCCATGTTGATTTTGCCGGGCGTGTATTGGATTACACCTTCAGCATCCATTATATCGACCAAACGAACCCTCATGATCCGCACAAATCCCTCGAGCGTGACTGGTGGAGCGTTGACCGGCGTCGACCGTGCGACCGAGGAAAGACCGTTGCGGAGTTCAGCGAAGACACCATTGGAGTTCTGAGAGAGTGCTGCAATTGCTGCGAGACCGCAGACACAAAGAAGCAGCTGTCATGCTAAGGTTGAGGGTATGACTCGGTATGACCATTCTGACCACTGGGTGGCCCAGTACACAAACTCTAAGTCGCGTTAATCAAAAGGACTCAAGATGACTCAAGCATCTCATCTGTGGAAAATTGGGCACGAAGCATATCACCTAGAACAACCAAAAGGAATACTCCCCACAACCGGGAAGAGAGTTCACCACCGCCCTCCTGAGACTACATCCACCAAGCTGGCCAGTGCACGCCCTGAAAGGATGACCATGGTTACGTGGATGGCATGGCCCCAAAAGGATGACCATGAAATCGGTCAACACCAACAGGTGGCCAACTCCAACAGGTGGCCAACTCCACTTCCATGGTGCTTCCGAGGCCATGCTTCCCAGTTCCACGAGTTCTCGAGTTCCTTTGGTTCCGCGAGGAGGCCAAGCGCCAAGCCATCAAGGAGGCCAAGGGCATTCCCACTCGACCCAGGTAGACGATCAACTGCAAGTTGGACCTCAGTCGTCCAAGGGGGATCGTCGTCTCGGAGTCCCGTGGGAGCCAAGAGGGTCCTTCACCAAGCGGGTCGTCCACCCACCCACACCCTGCGGCCCTGCGGCTCTCCTTCAATGTAACCCGTACGGACCATCAACCCTTCCTTCACCTCTTCTCACTCGGTTGCTGTTGACCAAGTCATCTGATGTCCATGTACCTGCGGACCACGTCACTCTGACTCACGAAGTTACTACTATGACATACTATGACTCATGACCAAGACACTCGGTTAGGCGGACTTCGTGTGTCCCTTTTCTGCTCGCCTTCCGCGTCCCACCCCGAGGCTCCCAAGCCGCTCCACGGGTTGCTCCGTGGCCAAGACCTCCTGAGAGTCGCATCCACGGCGGTGGGTGCCAACGTGTCGGACTGGACGAGTACAGTGGTTTCAGAGGTTCGATGGCACAAACTCTCCAGGATCCCTTTGATATCAATGTCCCAAGTAAACCATCTTTTTGGGGCGATGGTGCCATCTACTCCGAAACCACTAACATATGTCCACATTGGACCCCCCAAGAAACCCTCTCGATACACATAGATACGGCCAAGTGGAACGACAAAAGGCGACCCGGTCGCTCCAACCGAAACCGCACGCCGGGAGATCCAACATCGTGCGGGACCCACACATGGACAAAGCTAAGCACGTGATTCATGTGTCAGAAAGTATATATACCAACACCTTCAAAGGGGTCACCTGGCTGGAAGCCCCAGCCCACTACTAAGGGACCTCCATTGGACACCCCTTGAAGGTCCAGGTAAGAAATATCCATTTCCTGACGGTTCTTTGCCTGTTTCACTACTGGATTGTCCTGTGGCCCTAGCCACAAGGTACTAAACAAACACACAGAGCACACTAACCTCTGGTGGGCCATGGTGTCGAGAACGGAACAAACAGGAACCATTTCACAAATGTTTTCTTTCAGTCCTTCAAACATGAGGAGGAGTATGAACATGGAGGAGTATGAACATGAGTTTGATCAGGAGGAGTATGAACATGAGT